TAAGGGCGTGTTCATAACTATTTGGGTACCCTGGAGCACGTACGGCTTGAGCACGAGTACGCGCGGGGCGAACTCAGGGAACTGCTGGATCTTGAGACACATGGCAATCCAGTCGCGCTGGTCCGCGTCCTGGAGCAAGGCCGCCCACGCCTTGTCGGCCTCGCACATCCTCTCAGCAGTGATCGTTGACTGACTCGGTGGGTCCGACTCCGTCTCTTTCATCTCCTCGATCGAGGCCGTTTCGGACAGGGCTTCCTCAGCAGGCGGTGGAGCCGGCGGAGGGATGAGGTTCGGATTTAGCGTATCTCCATCCATACTCCTGTGCGCGGGCAGGTCGGCCGTCAGGTCAGGGACGGGCTCCGCAGTGGCGACGATGTAGATACCCTAGTCGGGGGACGGGTCGCAGAGGATTTCTTCGACAAGGATGGGCCCCGAGCTGTCCTCTTCCTTCGGCGAGGATTCGGGCGGGATGTCGTCCATCACGCTGCTCATCTCCATTATGAGGGGGGCCGCACCGACGGGAATATCGTTCATCTCGGAGAAAGTGGGCTCGGTGAAATACGGGTTCTCGCCGCCGAATGGCGTTTCGTACGTGTGGTTCCTCGCCACCTGCTCGGCGCGTCGAGCCATGTTCCGTACTGCACCCTGAAGTGACGCCCTGCTCACGTCTTCGTACTGGCCAGATGGGTCGGGGGTCTCGGGCTTGGCCACGAGGGCGTCCAGAACGAGACGCGCCCTGGTTGAAACCCGTACTTGTTGCTGGAGAATTGTCAGCTCAGTCTTGACCTGCTGCATCTCGTGGAAGAGCTCACGGGTAGCTTTCCGAGCCATCCCGTGCAGAAGCGGGGGACAGGGCCGCGGACGGGGCAAGAATGTGAGAAGAGAAATTCGGGATACGGGAAGAAACCGCCTCACTCGTGCCAGCTCAGGCCAAAATGACTTGCGCCAAAATGGAGGAGGATGAGGAGGATGAGGAGGAGGAGGAGGAGGAGAAGAAGAGGGAGGAGGAGGAGGAGGTGGAGTGAGGAGGAGGAGGAGGAAAAGGAGGAGGAGGAGGAAGAGGAGGAGGAAAGGACGGAGCGAGGGAAGAGGAAGGAGGAGGGGAGAGGGTTGGAGAGAGGAGGAGAGGAGTAAGGAGGAGGAGGAGTGGAGGAGGAGGAGGCGGAGGCGGAGGAGGAGGAGGGGGAGGAGAGGGGAGGAACGAGGAAGGAGAAAGAGGTAGGGAGGAGGGAGGAGGAGAGGAGGAGGAGGAGGAGGAGGAGGAGGAGGAGGAGGAGGAGGAGGAGGAGGAGAGATGGAGAGGGAGGAGGAGAGTGGAGGAGGAGGAAGGAGGAGGAAGCGGAGGAGGAGGAGGAGGAGGAGGGGGAAGGAAGAAGAGGAGAGGAAGAGGGAGAGGAAGGAGGATGAGGATGAGGATGATGATGATGATGATGATGCTGATTGATGATGTGATGATGACGATGATGATAATGATAATGATAATGATATGATGATGATGATGATGATGATGATGTGATTGATGATGATGATGATGATGTTGAAGATGATGATGATGGATGATGAGGAGGAGGAGGAGAGGTTGAGGAGGAGGGGGATGAGGAGGTGGGGGGATGAGGATGAGGAGGGGGATGAGGATGTAGGCTGAGAATGAGGATGAGGATGAGGATGATGATGTTTGATGATGATGATGAGGAGGAGGAGGAGGAGGATGCTGATGATGATGTGATGCTGTGATGATGATGATGATGATGATGATGATGTAGATGATGATGATGTGGATGATGATGATGATGATGCGGAGGAGGAGGAGGAGGAGGAGGAGGAGGAGGAGCAGGAGGAGGAGGAGGAGAGGGAGAAGGAGCTGGAGGAGGAGGAGGAGGAGGAGGAGGAGGAGAAGGAGGAGGAGAGTTGGAGGGGGAGGAGGGGCAGGAGGAGGAGGAGGAGCAATACCAGCAGCAACACCACCACCACCACCACCCAGCAGGTCCACTGAGCACCATCTAGAGACGACGTGCCCGCCGGAAGAGCAGTGAGTGCTGCGCCCCCTGGTCTGGAACTCTACCTCCATAGTCGCGGATGGAGGCGCACGACTTGAATGATGATGCTGACGACGATGCCATTAAGCAGACGCACGCGGAATCCCAAGGTGGCAACCCGAAAGTTCGCAGCTCGGGGAGCCGGACGTCGCACACGAAAACAGACATATCGCTGGGCAACACAGGGACGCCACACGGAGCCCGTCCGGCACAGGCGAGCACACACACACACAAGGAACTGGGCTGGGGAGTACGCAACGCGTGCCATGCACGTGGGATCTAGGATGGGGGCAAGGGGCTCACAGGAGAACAGGGGAAGCCAGAAAGAAAAGAGACAACCAATCACGATGGCTCGCTTGTCGCGACCAGGCACGGGCTGCGTGGCCCATGGGAGGATCATCGCCCGAAAGCCTACATCTCCAACCGAAGAGACGAAGACGCCCCGCGAGGTAGCAAGGTGTAGACAACAAACCTGTATATGAACAGATTATGTAGCCCAAAGCCGTTGAGACCATTTGGCTGCGCTAGTGACAACATCGGAGCTACGAAAGGAAACGGCTCCGACATGAGGTACAGCGACCTTACGCCGCGGCTTACGCGGGCCGCCGGCGTGGCACACCGCGTGGAGCAGAGGGCGCTCACGCGAGACTTTGCGCGGAGAGCTGACGCACGAATGCCCGCGCAGTCGACCCCAGACTTCGGTGTGCAAATTCAGAGCCATAATTTAATCGTTGTTGTGTGCGTGCGTGTGTGTGTGTGTGGTTTTTGTGTTTTTGTATGTGCTTCGGTGTTTGTTTTAAATGTGTGTTGTGTTTTTGTATGTGTTGTGTTGTGTTGTTTTGTGTTTTTGTGTGTGTTTTTTATATATCATGTGGGAGGGATCTGCCGCGGTCGATCGCCAGGGGGGGTTCGACTGCCGCCCCGGCGCGGATCGCCCCCGCCAAAGTTCCCTCGAAAGGGGGAGCTTCGGCGGGATTTTTTTCCCGTAGGCGCCCCCGCTCGCCTGGGAGGGCGCGGGGGTCCTGGATCGCCCGGGGGGGCTCCAGGACAGCCCGACTCGCCCCAGGGGGGGGGGTCGGTCCGAGAGGTGGGGTCGCCCAGGGGGGGTCTCCGCCGGTCAGTTCTTGCACGAGTCGCCCGGGGTGGTCTCGCGCGGGAACAGCCCTCGCGAATCGCCCAGGGGGGTTTCACGGGGGCGAGGTAGCCCGGGGGGCGCCTCAGAGGACAGTGCACGGCGCGAAGGATTCACGCGAATCTTTCGCGGGACTCTCGCGAATTTCTCGCGGGGGGCCCGGACTCTCGCGAATTTTTCGCGGGAGGCGCAACGGTTTGGACAGTCGCGCACAGGGGGGGGGGGGGGGCGAAGAAGAGAGGAGAGGAGGTCCGATGCCAAAGCCTCGAGGGCCACCTCCGGGGCCAAGCGGCGAATGACGGACAATTGGAGCAGGGAGCGGCTAAGGACAGAGAAGGGGGGCGAAGGGCGAAGGATGAGAGCCGGAGGGGAGCCCGAGCGGCGCACCGAGGAGCAGAAACGGGAGAGAAAGGGAGCTCTCCGGTGGATCACGCCAAGAAGAGGGCGAGGTTGATGACCAAGATAAGGCCCTGACTTTGCACACACACACACACAACCAGTTTTCTGCGCCGCTCACTTGCACCTGCTGAAAAGCGAGCGGTCGAGGCGACGGAGGGGCACCTGAACGCTGCGGCGCCAAGTGCCTGGACGACCGTAACCGTGGCCATGGGCGTTGGTCCTGAGGACGAACGCCCATGGTCACGCCCACGATTTCCAGGGCTGCCGTGCGTGAGGCGCATGGCAGCCTTGGAGATCGTCAACCTTGGTTACCGTCGGGAACTCGTAGAGCTTCCTTGCCACATACATGAATGGGATGCGGGCGCGGCAGTCTCGCATCCCGCGCGCGCGAAAATGTAACTTCATGGGGAGGACGTGGAGAAGAAGAGTGCTGCTCCACAGCACGGCCTTGCACTTTCCCACGAGAAACTCCACGCTTCGGCCGGCGTCAGACTGGCCGCTCGCGGCTCGGACCACTCTCCTTCGGCGCCCGCTGGCGTCCCCGCCCTCGCCTCTGGATGTGGGTGACAGGCCCGGCCGCGGGCGTGCTCCGAGGAGGCGCTCGGCGACACCTTGGAGGAGGAGAAGGAGGAGGAGGAGCAGGAGGAGGAGGCGCAGGAGGAGGAGGAGGAGAAGGAAGAGGAGGAGGAGAAGGAGGAGGAGGGGGAGGAGGAGGAGGAGGAGGAGGAGGAGGGGAAGGGGGAGGAGGAGGGGGGGAGGAGCTGCCTCGACGGCCCGGCTTCAGGGATGACCCCCAGACATCACGAAGAGAATCTGTCTCACCCCCCCGAAGCTCGGCTCGCTTTCGCCAGACGCACAGCCTGGAGTGGAGCAAAGGCCGCAATCTGCTAGATGGTCCACTTCCCCCCCCCCGCCCCCTTGCCCATGATCGTCACTCCCCTGGGCCTCTGGGGGGCACGTCTTCTTCGGTTGCTTTCCCTTTCCATGTCTTCCAGCCACGCAGCCAGCCTCCAGCAAGGGAGGCATACGACACGCGAATTATCCGCATCCTCCCCGTCCTCATCGTCACCCTCCTCCTCTTTCTCTCATCCCTGTAATCCCTCTACTCGCCATGTAGCCCCCTGCCTCCATCAGAAGGTAGACGAACTGCGCGTCCTTGTAGGTCGAGACGAGCTTCACAACGAAGGGGCTGTCCTGGGGCCGTCGTCTGTGAGATTTGGCGGGAAGGGAGACAAGAAGTAGCTATGAACATGGGGGGCAGGATCGAAGATACAGGAGCTTGTGCTTCTTGGTCCGTGTTGATCATCCTCCTTTTCCCCATCCTCCGAGTACTGCGTAGAAGCCAAGGGTGCAAGAGGAAAAGCAATACTGATCAGGAGGAGGGGGCGCCGGAGAAAGAGGAGGAGGAGGAGGAGGAGGAGGAGGAGGAGGAGGAGGAGGAGGAGTTGGAGCAGGAGGAGGAGGAGCAATGAGGAGGAGGGGGAGATCAGGAGGGGAGGAAGGAGGGGGAGGCACGCACGAGAAGGACCATAGGGGGTGGCGAGGAGTGAGGACGGGGGCGGTCCAGCATTGTCATCAGGTCCCGCTCCCAGCACACCTGCTGGGCCGTCCCGCTGCTCTGCACGTAGCCCTGGGCGGCGCGCATGGCGGGGGGAGGGTGGGGGGGGGCGGGAACTAGGAGAGGAGAGAGGAGCGAGGAACGAGGAGGAGGAAGGTAGGCGGAGGGAGGAGGAGAGGAGGAGGAGGAGGAGGAGGAGGAGAGGAGGAGGAGGAGGTGGAGGAGGAGGAGAGAGGAGGAGGAGGAGGAGGAGGAGGCGGAGGAGGAGGGAGGAGAGGAGGAGGAGGAGGACGAGAAGGAGGAGGACGAGGAAGAGGAGGAAGAGAATGAGGAAGAGAAGGGGGAAGAGGAGGAGGAGGAGGAGGAGGAAAAGGAGGAGGAGAAGAAGACACGGCTTGCCCGGACCAGGTTATGGGAGGGGTGTGGGATGGGTAATGGTTGGGTGGATGGGGGCAGACTCCAGCGGCATCCACCACGGTGCCCGTCGGAGCCGCCCGGATGCACGCAATTTCCCTTCTCTCTCCTCTGGATTACTTGTCAGGTCAGTTTTGCTGGTTGTTTAATACCTCTCCTCACCTGTCGCCGCGGACTGGGATACTCTGCCCTCGTTGGCCACTCTTCTTTGCCTTGTCTCATCCGTCCGCGGCCTAATTTCTTTGTTGATTCGTCTACGTCGGCGACCTATGTTTGCACAGTGACTAACGCTTCAGGCATCGACCCTAAGTTCGAGCAGCGTCAAACAAGGAGGAGGAGGAGGCGGAGGAGAAAGGAGGTGAGAGGAGGAGAGAGGAGGAGAGAGGTGGAGAGAGGAAGAGAGAAAAAAAATAAGAGAGGAGAGAGGAGGAGAGAGGAAGGTGGTGATGGTGGTGAGGAGGAGGAGGAGGCGGAGGAGGAGGAGGAGGAGGAGGAGGAGAGAGGAAGGTGGAGGAGGAGGAGGAGGAGGAGGAGGAGGAGGAGAAGGAGAAGGAGCAGCACCCAGACCTCCAACGCATTGGAGCAATCCAGACCTCAAACGCATTAGATCAATCCGCGCTGGGCCCTGGGGCCTTCGAAGAACGCTCCGGGACGAAAGGCCAACCCTCGGGGGAATTAAGTGTCCCGGGGACGCCGTGTTGAAGACATCCGGACTCCAGCGAGTCGTGCGAAACGAAAGCGCTACGGAAAGCGTTTGGAACCAAGATTGGTACCCAAACCTCGGGCGTCTCGGAAAAATCGAGACGGAAATTGTTCGTCGTTTTCGGCCTCTCCGGGCCCTCGCAGGGCCTCAGGACCGTCGACAAAACGAGTCGGGATGAACAACCGGTTCCGGGGAAGCGGTCGGGACGTCGGGGGCCCGCGTCTCCCAAAAATCGAGAAGTCGGAGTTCTGGGCAGTCTGGGTCGACACTCTGAAGGCACCGCAGCAGAAGTCAGAACACTCGTTGCTTGTGATCCACGCACGGGCACTCGGTCAGAAGCCATGCCAGTTTCGTGCGAACGGCTGCGGCACATGGACAGCTACGAAATGCGCTGTCTTCCTGGGCCGGGAAGCCGGTCGGGGGCCAGGGGCGTCCGCCACGCGGTGTCCCGAGTGCTGCTGCAGAGCCCCGCAGCCCCAGAGATCCGACGCTCCAACAAAAACAGGGGAGCGTGCGGTCTGGGGCTGATTTCGGCCTCCGGGGGCCCTCGCTGGGCCTCGGGGCCGTACACAAAAACCACTCAGGACGGAAAGCCGGCCCCAGGGAAATGGCGCAGACATCTGGGGCCCACGCGTCGAAGAACCTGGAGCAGCCGGAGGTCTGGGGCCAGGGCGCCAACTCATGGGCTTAAAACCACGATGCCACACACATCTCGTTCGGCCACAGGTTTTTCTGCGGCGAGCGAGGGGACGAGGAGGAGGAGGAGGAGGAGGAGGAGGGAGGAGGAGGAGGAGGAGGAGGAGGAGGAGGAGGAGGAGGAGGAGGGACTTCCTCAGAAAATGGGTGTGCTCTGTCTTGGGTCGACTTCGGGCAGCAGCACCACGTCGGGGACCTGGGCCTGACGCCGCGGTCGCCTCCTGCGTCGGGCCTCCGTGGGCGTGGGCAGCCCCGGCCATGATCTGCGTGTGAATGGGCCCCTGCAGGAGCCCAGGGACACACAAAAAAATACACACCAATCCCAGGAGTCCCCATATTTTCGGGGCTTTCGTCTTCCCCCAGGATTCCAATATTTTCTGGGCTGTCGTCGCCCCCCCCACTGCCCATGTATGTTTCCCATATGCTCGAGGGAGTCGACGACTGATCGTGTGTTTCTGCCCCTCCTGAGCCGTGGCCAGGGTTGGGCGTGGCTTAATGGGGGGGTCACAAATGGGGGGGTCAGAAACGGTCCCCTTTCGTGCCCCTTTCGGGCCCCTCTGGAGCCCCAGGGGGCTCGTTTAGGTACCGTTTGGGTACCTTTTCGGACCACCCTCGCCACCCCCCCATTTATGACCCCCCCATTACGCAACGCCCAACAGGGCGCACTCTGGGACGCGCCGGGGCTCCGACTGCGAGGCCCAAGGCTCGGTCGGTCGGCCGCTCCGAGTCGCAGGCCGCGGGCAGTCCCCGTGGCCGCGGGCGCGGGCGAGCTCACCGGCCCATCGACGCTCTCGCTGAAGCATGCTCGTCCACCCTTTGGAAGGGGCCCTGGGACACACAAATAAACACACACACACAAATAAAAGCATGCCCCATATTTTTCCATATGTTCTGGGTTTCGGTCTTCCCCCCCCCCCTTACCATCTTCTCCCATATTCCCTGAGGGATCGAGGATGAAGTGTGTCTGTGTGCTTCTTCCTCTCCTGACCTCTGTGCGTCAGGCTTCTCCTCGAAGGGTGGCAGGGTGCCAGGGCAGGGAGGGCCAGGGGAGCGCAGCACGCCTCGCCCTCAAAACCTGCGGGCGCCCCGAAGGCACATGCCGACCGGCGCCCGCTCTCGCACGCGGGCCCGGCGCGGGGGCCCCAGATCCGCGGATCGGGCACGGCGGATGCTCCAAAGGACGACCTGCCAGACCACCCCAACCCAACCCGAAGGCACGAACTTGACCCGAATTTCGGGTTGGGGGGGTAGGGGGACCACGTGTGTTTTTTCGACGTGCCCCGATCCCCCCCCCTGGACATGGAGGGCAGATTGAGGCCTTCGGGTTGGGCTGGGGTGTTTTGGCGGGTGGTGACCACAGGTCAGGCCAGCGCCGCCGCACCCGGCGACGGAGCGAGGCGACTCCGGCACTGGGAGCGAGGCCCGTCGCGTCGCCGACCCAGGCGCTCTGACCCGTGCTCCTGAAGGGGCCCTGGGACACGCAAATAAACACACACATAAAAAAAGATTCCCCATATTTTCCCATATGTTCTAAGTTTTTGTCTTCCCCCCCCCACTTCCCATATCTTCCCAGATGTCCTGGGGCATCGACGATTCATTGTGTCTGTGTGTGTGTGTGTGTGTGTGTGTTTTTCCCCTCCTGAGCTCCTCTGCCCCCCCTCGAGTCGAAAGGCCGGCGCTGGCGATGGAGGGCCAGGATCTCCGCGGGGGGGGGGAGGGAAATCCCGCGTCGACGCAGCGCCCGCCGGCCGGAGGCCCGGCTTCTCCCGCTCCTCCCTTCGCGCCTCCTCCTCCCTGCTCTGCTGTCGCTCCTCCGGCTCTGCTTTCGCTCCTCCTCCCCTTCCCCCCCGCTCCACCTTCGCTCCTCCTCCTCCTCCTCCTCCTCCTCCTCCTCCTCCTCCTCCTCCTGCCTTTCCCACTGCTCCCCTGTCCCCTTCTCCCTGACCCCCTCCTGAGCCTGGGCCTGGGCGTGGCGCATCCGATTCGGGGCGCGCTGTGGCCGACACCCCCGGCAGAGGACAGGCGCGGCATTGCCCCGCCGCCTCCCCCACCCCGCTTCCTGTGGCCCGCTCCTCCTCGTCTTTTAGCGGGCGACGGACGGCATGACATAAACTGTTGCGTCGGGGGCGCTGCCCCAGGGCGGCTGGAGAGTCGATGTCCCTGCGTGGCTGCCCCAGGGCGGCTGGAGAGTTGATACCCCTGCGTGGCACCGTGGGGGCGCAAACTTTGCAGCCGCCTGGGGGCAGGCGTCCCCGACGGCGGAAACGTAGATGTTGTACCAGTCTTCGCCCCCCGCTTCCCGCTCCTCTCTTCGCTTCCCCCGGAGAGGGGCAGGAGGACGCGCGGCGGCAGCAGCAGCAGCGGATGGGCGACGGCGGCAGAGGCAGCCCCTCGCCGGGCGGCGTCCTTGGACAGCCGCTTCAGGGCGTAGAGCTGCCTGGTGGAGGGGTTCCTCGCGGGGCGCCCGAGCAGCCAGGAGGAGGAGGAGGAGGAGGAGGAGGAGGAGGAGGAGGAGGAGGAGGAGGGGGAGGAGGAGGAGGAGGAGGAGGAGGAGGAGGAGGAGGAGGAGGAGGAGGTGGAGGAGGGAGGATGGAGAACACTGGGGAATTTCGCAAAGGAAAAAGGGGAAGGCGGAAAAGGGGGGCTGGCTATGGGCTGGCAGAACCAGGCCGGCGGAGCCTGGCCTCGAAGAGGCGCCCGTCCTGGGAGGGGGGAGACAGCCGGAGGTGCCTCGCGCACCCCCCCTTGCAATCCAGAGCTCTCTCTCCCAGAAGGCGTCCAGACACTCCCTGCGCCAGGGAGGGGCGAGCCTCACCCCATGAGATCGACAGAAAAAGGTTGAGAACCTAAACACTTAGCGTTAGGTCGAGCATGTCCCCCTACAGGCGGACTTTGAACGAAAAACAAAACACAAGTCACCCAAGCATATTCAAAACATCCAAAGATATTCAAAGAATCGTCCACAGGCTATTTTTGACTATTTTTCAGCTCCCCCTGCAGAGGGGCAGGCCCGACTTGGGCTTGGCGTGGCGAGGGACGCAGCCACGCGCAGCCTCGAATACCTCGCGAGGCAGGCGAAGAAGGACGAAGGGGGGCCAGCAAACACACACACACACACACACACACACACACACACACACACACACACACACACACACACACACACACACACACACACACACACACACAGCCGCACGGCACGCACGCACGCACGCACGCACGCTACGCACGGCAGCACGCACGCCACGCAGCACGCACGCACGCACGCACGCACGCACGCACGCACGCACGCACGGCGCACCTCCGAACAACATCACACACACACACACACACACACACACACACACACACACACACACACACACACACACACACACACACACACACACACACACCACACAACACACACACACCACACACACACACACACACACACACACCACACACCAACACCACACACACACACACACACACACACACACACACTACAACCACACACCACAACACACACACACACAACACACACAACACACACACACACACACACTCACACACACCAACACACACACACACCACAGCACACACACCACACACACCCACACACACACACACACACACACACAACACACACACAAAACACACAACAACACACAACAACACACACACAAACCACAAACAACACAGGACACACACAACACACACACACACACACGATACACCCAACACACCCAACACACCCAACACACCCAACACACCCAACACACCCACACCCACACCCACACCTCGCCGGCTGCAGGGATAGCAAAACGGGGGCTCGGGCTATCTCGGGGGGCATGTTTTTCGATTGGCGCGGGACCGCGAGCAGCCGGAGGAGGAGGAGGAGGAGGAGGAGGAGGAGGAGGAGGAGGAGGAGGAGAGGAAAACAATTTCGTGGAGGAGGAGAGAGGAGGAGGAGGGAGGAGGAGGAGGAGGAGGAGGGATGAGGGAGGAGGAGGGAAGAGGGAGGAGGAGGGAGAGGGAGGAGGAAGAGTAGGAGGAGGACGGGAGGAGGAGGAAGGAGGATGAGGGAAGGAGGAGAGGAGGAGGAGGAGGGAGGAGGAGAAGGTGGAGAGTGAGGTAGGAGGAGGCGGAGGTGGAGGAGGAAGAGGGGAGGAGGAGGTGGAGGAGGGGGAGGACAAAACCCGGGGCCGCTTCGTGCCCCCTCCCGCCCCCTCCTCCCCCTGCCTCCGCGGCGCGCGCTGCGCTCTCCTGCCCGCCCGGGGGCCCGCGGCAGCCCGAGCCCCGGGCCGCCGCGCGCCCCGGGCGGGCAGGAGCCTCCACTGCTGGGGTTATGTTGGGCCTGCCCCCCTACAGGGGAATGTTCGACGACATGTTTTTTTTTTGTTTTTTATATAAAAAACACAAAAAAAACCCAAACTACTCCAACAAGGCCAAAACATGCACCAAACATAGTCCCCAGACTAGTTTTGGGCTATTCTTTGGCTATTGTTGGGGCATCTGCTATTTCTCGTCGAGAAAGTCCCCCTGTGGGGGGAGAGGCCCGACGTGATGCTGGGGCAGAGAGGACGCGGATGACGGGCGCGTTTTCCAACACCACTAGCAGAAGTTGGAGGGGGGAGGGTGTCCTCCTCCCCCTCCTGTTTCCCTCTCCTCCTCCTCCTCCTCCTCCTCCTCCTCCTCCTCCTCCTCCTCCTCCTCCTCGTCCTCCACCTGCCTCCCCCCTCCAGCTCGTGGTGGTGGTGGTGGAGAACAGGCCCACCAGAGGAGGAACAACGGGATGGGGAGGAGAGGGCGAGAGCCCTTCCTTCGGCGGTGGACAAGCCTCCCTTGAGTCAACCACCCTTTCGTGAAAACGGCCCAGGGCCGAACCCGACGGACCCAGACCCGCAAGACATGACGGCCGCGACGCCCCCTCTCGCGAACCGACAACGGCCAGCTCGCGAATCGGAGTGTCAGGGTAGGAGGCCGATCAACCTTCGACTGTCTTTTTACCAGCGCAAGAGGAGCCCCGTGGCAGGAGTACACGTCGTTGATTCTAACCGTGCTCATTTCTAATTGTGTTCGTTTCTAATTGCTCCTGGCCCCCTAGTGGCCAGGAAGAGGCCCAGAATGGAAGAATTAGAAATGAAAGGATCTTGGCCCCCCTAAACAATTAAGAACGTTCGAAGCATTAGAAACGGCACGACACGTCGACGGGGACGACCGCCGACACGCCAGCGGCACGGCGACGAGGACGAGAGCCACCGCCCCGCCCCGCGCCGGGCCTGGCCAGGAACACGTTGCCGAAGTTGCCGCTCCCCAGCAGGGTCACCTTCTCGAGCCTCTGCCGCGCGGTGCTCGGGCGCGGAGGGGGGGGCAGGACGAAGCCACGACGAGGATCACATCGGACGAGGCCCTCCTCATCCCCCTCCTTCTGCCTCCTCCTTCTGCCTCCTCCTCCTTCGCATACCCGAACTCCTCACCCTCGTCCTCCCTCCTCACCTCCCGTCGTCTTCGTCGTCGTCCTCGTCTGAGACGGAGCCAGGACGAGGATCAAACCGGGTGAGTACAAATCAAGAATCTCTAAGATCTGGCGGCTCTGGAGGATGTCTCGGGCGCCACGGCCTCCTCTGATCGTTCTGGAACGCTCCGAGAGCGTTCTGGAACGCTCTGGAACGGATTTACTCTTGTCCTAGCCCCGCCCGAGATCGGACGCGGAAAGAAGGTGAGAGGGAATGGCAAGGGGATAAGTAGAGTGGAGTACAAAGGGCGAGGAGTGCGATCTTCCTCCTGGCCTCCTCACCCTCCCTCCTCACCCCCCCCTTCTCCGTCAATTCCCCTCCCCATTTTCTTACTCGTCGTCGGGCTGGACCGGATCGGGACGACCGACCAGTTCGGGTCGAAGCCTCTTCTAGGCGAGGGAAAGAGGGACAAAGAGACAGAAAGAGAGACATGTTAGCCTGTTTCAGGGTTAGCTGTCAGAAGCATGCACCTTGACAATAGGGGCCTAAGGGGTGCGAGCCTCGCATGATGGGGCAGAGGATTTGCAGGAGTGCTCGCTTGCCCTACAGCCTGCCGCGTGCGGGACTCGTGGTGACAGCAATGCCAGAGCGCACGGCTTGTGCGCCCGCGCATCTTGAGTTGCGAGTGTCCGCTTTCGACCAATCCCCTACACGTGCCCTTCCTCCCTCCACAGATCCCTCCCCTTCCTCCTCCTCCTCCTCCTCCTCCTCCTCCTCCTCCTCCTCCTCCTCCTCCTCCTCCTTCTCCCTCCTCCTCCTCCTCCCCTCCTTCTCCTCCGCTTCCTCCTCCTCCTCTTCCTCCTCACCTTCTTCCTCCTCCATCTCCTCCTCC